AATAAATTATTATTAACATATAAATAAATTTAATTCTTTTATTGTGAGAGATTTTAAAATCTTCGTAGATATTTAGAATAATTGTATTATCGTGTGAGTCGATAAGGCTCTGCAGGTATAACAATTAAATGTTCAATCAAAAAATAGAAATAAAAAATAATTTTAAAACTCTTTTCTTTATTTCAAAAAAATCAAAAATTGAGAAAATGATTGAAATTAAATCACTTTTTGCAATTTAAAACACACATACCGAAATTTTAGAAATTATTTTATTTGCAAAATGATAAATTATTTCTAATTAATTTCTCTTCAAAAATATTTTCACCAACAACTTATAAAACCCGAACTGCGTGGACTTTGATCCCTATCACAGGGTACGTAGGCCTCAGAGCCAGGTTCTGAGTCAAGTCCTCCCTGTAAATAAATAGACATTTCACACTTAATTCTTATTATTTTTATATCAAACACATGAATATAAAAGGAATGATTAAAATAATTTTAAAACCATATTTATATAGCACAACAAACTTCAGGTAACCGTTTTTACGAATGGGTGTTGTGGGGTACCTAACACCTTCCCCACACTCAATCGACTACCGAACCTATTTTCTATTTTCGCAGACCACCCTTATCCACCTTTAAACGGTTTTTCGAGATTTCCCTCAAAATTTTTGTGGCGACTCCCATTTCTCCGGTCTCCCTTCCAAAGGCCGGAACCTCTGCTCTCGTGCTGTCCGCGTTGCATTTCCGGGTGCGACAAGCATATATGCTCTAATTTTTTTATTAGCTGTATTTATATGACCAAGAAGATCCTGTCTGTCCCTCTTAATTCTTGACTTAATTTGAATATCATGCCACAAGGTTTCTATCTGTCCCTCATGACGTAAGATCTTAAACATTATGCTCGACCATAAGAATCCTATCTATCATCTCTCATGGTCCCAAATTGCATTTTGAAATATTTATAATATTGTTGAATTTGCTTAGAAGTATTGAGTAGTTAATAAAAATATGTATGTTGTGCATAAGTATACATCCTATAACTTCTTTTTTTTTTGTGGTGAACAAATGTTGAACTTTTGTTGTGGATAAGTGTACATCCTATCACTAAGCATACTATTTCTTAAAAGATATTACAAAATTTAAAAAATTATATGGTAATGATTGTGATATACAATTGGGTCACATAGTTACACCAAGAACTTATTATTAGTAATCATTTGGGTTTTTGCTGCCCTAGAATCCATGCCCTGTTTTAAACTATTTCCATCATTTATTGGATTTTTCACATTTGTTCTAAATTAGATCCTAGTTAGCATGCTTCAATACGTGTATTTCCTATTTATCATGATAGAACTATTTGTTATATTGAACGCTTTTTATCATAGTAAATCTTTTTTTATCATAGTAGTTTTTTGAGCAAATGTTTTATATGATGAAAAGCTCTTTCTATTAGCGTAAACTTTGTGAAAGGTAATTGATTATTAATTACCATGGTAGGATTTCTAATTAATTAGGTTGATTATTTTCTACCATAGTAACTCTTTAATTATCATGATGTTGTTTTAAAAATGAGTTTTTGTATTACTACCATGGTAGATTTCTTTATATTACCACCATGGTAGATTTCTTTCTATCATGGTAAGTGTTTAATAACTTTGGTTTCAATTAAAGAATGATTAGTTTGTGTAAAATTAATTTCAAAATTTAAAATGTATTTGGTTCGAGGGAAGGGAAGGAGGGGGGTGGGGGAGGTTGATGGAGGGGAGGGAAGGGTTTTAGTATTATCTTATTAGTTATGTTTGAGGGAAGGGGAGATGTTTTTAATGATTCTTTGTTTGATTTAGTAGGGGAGGGGAGATAATAACTAATTTACTATTATATCTCTATATATTATAATTTTTTCTTGTAGAAAATAATTTTACACCTCAATTTAAATTGTATAATTTTTTAAAATTCACTTTCATCCTATCGTATTGTCAATATGTGAAAAAATATAATGATAATAATTTTTTATAAAAAATAAATAACTAAATATATAATAAAATATGAAGAAATGTAATTTTTTTTAAAAAAATTCAATGAGGTCAATCAAAGTTTGGTAGTGAAGCACAATGTGATATAAATGAAAGTTTTTTGAGTTATAGGTATACTTAAAATATTAAAAATTAAATAATGATAAAATAGTCAAAAAAATTAGCTCCCTTAAAAAAAAAAACCCAATTTAGAGGGGAGTAATATGAGATGATGGCCTTCCTTCCAAAATTTCTTAACTAAATGAAAGGAGGGGAGCCTCCCCCTCAAAAACCCCTCAACCCAATATACCTTTAAAGTGTAACAACTATTTACTAATTTTCTATTTTATATTTATATATAATATATAAGTAAATTATAATATTTTTTTTATTGCCACTGAGCACGTGAAGGTAAATCATAATATTTTTAATGAGAATTTTACTGATAATTTATAGCCTACACAACTAGTGAGATCAATTAACTCGCCTCTTTTGACATAACAACCCCAATGTGGTCTTGAACCCAATTTTGTCTGCCCTAAAAAGAAGTAATCACGCCAAGAGCTACTAAATTAAATAAAAATAAATAGAGATTACCAATTAATAATTTTAATATTCTTTATTTAAAACAAAAGAATGCAATTTAAAATTAAATCTTTAATAATTAACTTAAGAAATAAAAATAAAAGTAAAAAACTTACACTTGAATAAAAGAGAGAATGATAGATAGGTTTTAAGAGAACCAACTAATTCAAATTAAATCCCAAATATCAAATTTTAGAAATATACAAGATTGGTTCTCGATTTTACAATTTTATTGTGATAAATTTGTGACTTATTTTTTTAAATTTTATTAAAAAAATAAATCTGTTTATTTTTCAACCATGATAAAACTTGAAAAATTAGTTGTAAATTCATCATAAAGAAGTCAAAAAAAAAAAAAAGAGTTGAACTTGTAAATTTTTAAAATTTGACACTTTAAAACTCAATTTGAATTAATTAATTCTCTTGAGACCTATCTTTCATTCTCCCTAAATAATATTTGAATTATACAAATTAGATTTGGATAATTTGAACCTCATGATCATCTTGAAAAGAACAACATGTGCTTATCTCAGATAAATAAAGCATCCCAACCTAGAAGACCTAGGCCTCGTGAAATTGTTTTAATAGCACACACTTTGTTACAATGTTCATGGTTCGCGAAAAACAAAATGATAAGTCAATATTTTGTATGATTCGATGTCGCATAATTCAACCTCTCAAAATTTTTTTCACATATGTAATATTTATTGAGTCTCTTACATAGTTTTACATAAATTCATTTTCTTTATTTTTTTCTTTGTTTTTTTTTTCGCGGTTCATAACAAAAGTATTTCAACCATAGTTGATAAATAATCCCTTTTGAAGCATAGAGATCACATAAATGAGTTTTGTTTATACCAATAATTTTTCATGCACATAGTCCAGGACCGAACCCTTGACAACACAAAATGAAATAGAATAAGAAAGGAACATAATAAAAAAAATATTATATCATTTCTATTTATAAATTATTTTTGACTAATTCATGCAAACCAAGACAATTAATTAATGTTTGGTAAAATGATTTCATCTTTTTAAAAACATCTTTAACTAATTAAACACATCAAATTATAACCCAGTTTTACTCATTTGTTTTCAATACCTCCTTCATTATAATTACTTAATAACATCCTTATTATGAAGTACCATGAGACAAAAAAGCTAATTATTTTTATAAAGTTTACAAAATCACTTATACATAGATACTAATAAAATTTACCAAAGTAATTTTGTAAGCAAAAAAATAAAAATCTTTGCAACTCTAAATACCAAAAAAAAAATTATAAAAAGAGATAGATAGGATTGATAGAAAATAGATATTGTATATATATTTGGATAGTTTTGGGAGGGAAATCTCTTCCTAATTTTTTTTTATTTATAAAAGAGAAAATCTCTTCCTAACTGAGACGTTACCTTCCAATATAACTAAAATGCAAAATGATATTGTTTAATATATGACACCTTATCTTGATGACACAGCTTTCTGAAACACATTTAAAAAATATTTTGAAAAATTGAAAGCCACCCAATATGAACACTGAATAAATTTCAAGTCAGGAAACAACTAGCAGAATTTGAGAACAAAACGGTTTTAAAATACAAATATTTCCTTCAGTTTTAACTATAGGGTGAAGTTTAAAAGTCCTATTCCGCCTAAATATAGGGGAAAATGTAATAGTTAATTATTTTTCCAATATTTCCTTTCCTTAATTACACCAAGTTGTAATTTCTATACACATTTTATTGTGATAATTAATTTAGTAAAAGGCAAAATTGAAAAGTCAACCATTTTTTTACAAGTTTAAAGACATTAACTATCATATATACTAATATGGGTTGAGTTTACTGGAAAAGCTAGTCTCTCATAATGTCAACGACCTAAACCCAAATCTCCATTATGTGTGCTTATATTTAATGGCCACAATATGATGAACAAGATTATCTCTAATAAAAGAATACTTGTGCATCATAAAAAAATTATCATTCCTTGCAAACCATGAAGTTAATTAACTTTGCCACATAATTTATAATTAGTACAAGAGGGAGTGAATATTTTTCATGGGTTCACATCCTGCCCGGTAAGTGTTTGAGACTCAGTCAACATAACTTTATTACCTCTCTATGGATCAAGCTAGGTCTATGCATAGAGCAAACAAATATTCAATCATAAAGTACTTATTTGTAACCATCTTCTAAGAATCCATTAAAATAACATCTTTCTGTCTCTTATCTTGATAGCAATCAGAATCTTGGAAATATCAACTTTAAATCACAATCTCAAGTTACAGCTATGCCCCACCCACAAAATACTCCCTCAAAGACTGAGCAACACCGCTAGTTTGTCCCTGTTCTCACATTCCTATACATCAAAAAACTCATTTTTTTATAATATTATACATGCATCACCCCATTTGTGTTCCTATAAATTTGGTTCAAAGTTTTCAGTCAGATCATCAAGAACTTGAACGTGCCAATGCCAGCTAAAATCACAACGAGGGTAAGCCAAATTTCAGAGCTTTTGGTTCTTGTTTTCGGTTAACAGTTTGTTTGGATTTTTCTTGCTGGAAGTTCTCAGAGCATGAAGGACTTGCAGGCAGGTGTAGCAAGAGGGTGGACTGGCAGGGGACACAGCCACCTGAAGTTTTTTTCTTATAAAAAAATTAGTACTATATAGATGTTATATACTCCCTCTCAAGATTTATGAAAACTTTATAGTATCTATGCTTTTTAATTTCGATCTTTCTCATAGTTAAATCCTGGCTATGTTCTTACTTGCAGGTGCCCATGGGAGTTTCAGAGGGGGCTAAAAATGTTGCCATCATCTTTGGGGTCACTGGACTAGCTGGGAGGGAGATTGCAAGGAGTCTGGTTTCTTCAGAATCTCCATGGAAGGTCTATGGCATAGCAAGAAATCCAGAAATACAACCCATCATCACCATGAAAAGTTGTAATCCTTACAATTTCATTTCCTGTGATCTGCTCAACCCTTTAGAAACTCACAAGAACCTGTCTCCATTGCATGATGTGACCCATGTGTTTTGGGTCACATGGGCAAGCCAATTCCCACTAGACTCACAACAGTGCTGTGAGCAGAACAAAACCATGATGTCCAATGCCTTGAACACCATAATCATGGTGGCCAAGAATCTTAAACATGTCTCTCTTCAGACAGGGACAAAGCACTACATCTCACTTCAAGCCCCTTTTGAACAAAACCAAAAACTCCATTATTACTACCATGAACAAGCCCCAAGGATCGCCAGCAAAACCCCAAATTTCTATTACGCTCTAGAGGATTTACTGATGGAGAAACTCAATGGGAATAATAAGGTGTTTTGGTCTGTGCACAGGCCTGGTTTACTCCTAGGAAGCTCAACCAGATCATTCTATAACTTCATTGGAAGCTTATGTGTTTATGGGACTTTCTGCAAACACCTTAAGATACCTTTTGTTTTCGGAGGAACAAGGAAGTGTTGGGAAGAATCATACATTGATGGGTCAGATTCAAGACTAGTAGCAGAACAACACATCTGGGCAGCAACAAAACAAGACACAGCTTGTTGCAGAAAAGGGGAAGCTTTCAATGCAATCAATGGCTCAAGCTTCACATGGAAGGAGATATGGCCGATTCTGGGGAAGAATCTTGGAGCATATGTTCCTGAAGAAGAAGAAGAGATGATTGATGAGGGATTCTGGTATTGCAGAGAGATGGGTGATGAGAAGAAAAAGAAGAAATTGTGGGAAGAGATTGTGGAGAAGCATGGATTGGTGAAGACGAAGATGGAAGATTTGGCGAATTGGGAGTTTCTTGATGCGTTGTTTAGATTCCCTGTGAAGTTATTGGTGAGCCGAGACAAGGCTGATGGGTTTGGTTTTGTTAAAAGATGTAACACTTTGAATTGTATATTGTATTGGATTGACTGCATGAGAGAACAGAAACTGATCCCTAGGCTGGATTATTAGAGTAGAATAAAAAGATGACGTTTATCAATGTTATGGATGTGTATTTTCTTAGCAAAAGAATTAATGTATCAACTTGTTAAGAAAATAGATAAATGGATTTTGTTTCAAGTAGAGTCGAAAAGATGCAAGATGATAATGGCATTGGTACAAATCCCTCACCATATATAAAGATCTTAAATGCGGATAATTTTTAAATAGTTTTCGAGTTTTGAAATTTATCTTGATGTTTGTGAGCCTCTAAGATCCAATCAATGAGTCTAGGATTAAAAGTATAAAAAGAAGTTCTAATTGATAAAGATCTTGAATGTAAATAATTTGTAAATAGTTTTGGAGTTTTGGAAACTTACCTGATTTTTGCGAGTCTCTGAAACCCAACTCATGTAAGTTTTTTTGCCTACTTAACAGCAAAGGAAGAAAATGACAGAAAGGCACTTGTAGTTTATTATTAGGTTTTAGCTGGTCGCTCAAAAGAAGTTGTCATTTTCTATTCTAAAGCAATCTCTGTGATCCATATGTTGCATTTTAATGATATAAAAAAAATGGCAGAAAGGTACTGTAATTTGTCATTAAAAAAAGCAAATTAATATATAAATATTAAAAGAATTAAAGTACATTTATACAGTATAAAAACCAAGGAAAAAACTAGAAGTAAGAAGAGAAGTAGTCATCATGCAAGACATTAATGTCAAAGAAATGGAAATCAGAGAGGAGATTCGAAATATCCCCAGCAACAAAATTGCTTCTACACCTGTTGATATATAATCAATCTTAAAAAATCTTTATGGTATGCAATTGATTTTTAGGATTGAATGTGGTGGGTTGAAATTCTTGATAACATTGTGAATCCAGCATAGACTCTATATGAAGTAAAGAAGATGGAAAAGCTTTATGTTTTGGATGTGCTTCCAAAGTACAAAACCATTAGTTCCATTGTATAATGATCCGACATTCAGTCAGCTAAATGTTTTATTCATCCGAGTCAGCAACTATAAGTGCAGATGGAAGGGAAGGAATCGTATGGTTTTGATAAGTAGTACCTTAGCAGCAACAAACATTATCAAGTGTGAAGCATTGATTCCTGAAGGCTCTTATCAGATCCATTGGATCAGGAATTTTGAACTGATATATCAATTGATTCCTCGAGTACCAAATCAGATTTAACAGAATGATGATGTACCTATTATGATCAATCATAGCATCTTTGTGAAGATGTTTAAAAGTGTTCAAGATCTAGTCAATGAGTCTAGAGTAAAAAAAAAAAAAAAGTTGTTCTAATTGATAGGCATGAAAACTGAAGAGATTTGGTGAAGCAACGGTGAGTAAAAATATGGTCCAAAGGTTTCCTCATTAAGACACATGAAAGGATGTTGAGTTTTATTTAGAAGGTGATGCTCACTTAAAATATCCCCAATAGCAACCATTCAAAACCTTTTTGAGAAAATAGCAATCAAGGACTACTAACCAAAATTTATATAAGTTAAAGATTAACTATTGTCAAAATCTGAATGGATATTTTTTAATTCAAATTAATCTTTAAGCAGCAAGTATTTATTTGGGTTTTTAATAATAACTCATTTCAATTAACAATAATTTATTTTGGCTTGTTTTTCATTTTGAATTTTGATAATAATTGATCATTGATTGATATAAATTTTCATTAGTGGTCCTTGACTACTATTTTCTCACCTTTTTTTTGCCGTGTATTCCACACCACATGCTCCATCTCAAATGAATTTATTGGCCTCTTGCAAAGTTAGAGGGAGAGGGATATTCAATGTCAAATTAGAAGCATGATAACTATAAAGTGGGTGAACTAATTGAATATTTCACTACAAAGCAGGCAAGCCTAAGGGATCACCCACAGAGTGTCAAGGTGATTAATGGTATGATTCATTTAATCAAGAGAAGTTGGTAATTCTTATTTTTAAGTAGTCATTATCTTCCATATATTTCATTTCAAATTTTAAATTGGGGCTAAATTTGTCATTTCCTCATAAATAAATATGTCAGACAAGTTTCTAGAAACTATTGTATAATTGTTGTTATATTCTGTGGTACTTCTTTATCATTTGTATATTTCAAGGATGCTTTTTGTCGTTATTCCCATTGTGATTTTGTTAATTTATGAACATAATTCCCCTATTATTAATTTATTCATTATTTTACTAAAATAATAGAATATATTTGCATACGATCTGGCTTAAATTTTATGGAGCTATCTACACTTAACTCAAATTTTAAGGAGATTAGGATTCAAAAGTTTGAAAAAGAAATTTGCACAAAAAAGATAAAGTTTAAGGAAATATTTTGTCAATAACATATTATACATATACTCTGGTAATGAAATAGTGGAACAATTGATGGCAAGAGATATCCAGCCAAACTTGAAAGTTTAGGAAGGCTATTTGTCAAGTTTTAAAGGTGAAAGGAGTTTTTTATATGGGTCAAAATTTAAGAAAATTTTATGCAGTATTTAGTCATATATTTTGACATGAAGATATGAAGCTAGAAAAGCTTGTAATACATATAATACATTTGAAGAGTTCTATAAAAAAAATATTTGAAGAGATGAATAAAAAAATGTGAACACAAAAATAAACGAGGCTCATTAGTAAGGAAAAAATGCTATTGATCCCTATATTTTTAGTGTGTTTTAATATTAGTTTCTATACTTCGTTTTATTGCTCATAATCATTAAGTTTTATCTTTATGCAATGTTAGTCCTTATTGTCACTAATCAAATTAAATCTACTGATATGTACATAACACTGTTCTGTTATTAAGTTGGTAAAATTAATTACAATGAATTGGACATTATATGAGTAAAATGGCTACTAACTTTTTTGTCTTTTTGCCCTATTCGTCATGTATTTTTCCCTTTGAAACTTGATCTATTGCACGTTTAAGGATTTTGATTTATGCCTTTGGCGTTTCTTTTTTGCTTTCTACTCATTTTTTTTAATAGAACTTATCATAATTTTAACAAGTCAACACAATGAGTAATAGAGCTTATATACTCCTTTCGTTAAAAAATATAAAGTATTTTTTAAGAAGTTTAATGTTAAAGAATGTAAGGCATTTTTAGTCTTTTGAGATATAATCATTATCTTTTTTTGAGAAGTGTATGACTTTAAATTTATTGTAAGGTATTTAATGAGGATAAGTATGAAAAGATAGGATTAATTTAAAAGCAGGTAATTACTTTATTGAGAGATAAAATTTAATTTAAAAATTCATATATTTTTGAATGGAGGGAGTACATGTTAGCCACTATTAAATCCTTATAATTAATTTAAAAATATAAGTATTAACATTGCAAATAGATGAAATATAGGGAACTAGGGCAATGAAAAAAAGTATAGAAACTAATACCAAAACATGCTAAAAGTATAGGGACAAACAGTTATATTTTTTCTCTTAGTTATTATATATATTGAAGATGTTTAATTTGTCATTGTTACCTTATACAGTTATACATGACTATAATAACCATAAAATATATCACGTTCAAAGAATTTCAAAATAAAATATGCACAGCTAGCATTTCTTTATTTCTTTCTTTTGATTGCAACCTTTTTTAATATGCCAAATCAATTTTCAAAAGCAATATTGGATATCGATTAATTTGATTCAGATGTAAGCAAGACTCTTTGAATTGAATTTCTTTTTTCCTAAGTAACCAAATTTTGTTTAAAGAAAGCACATGTTGATTTTTTTTGGGAGAATGACAACTAAGTACTTCTTAAAAAGGTTAACGTCAAATCAATTTTTAAAAAAAAAAATTACTAAAGCATGGAAAGATGAGTATAAATTTGTAATGAAATCCTGATTTAGTATTAATTTTTGGTAAAATTCTTACTTGTCATTTTTGTTCAATTAAAGAAAACACATGTTAGAAGAACTTAAATTGATTATAATATAATAATAACAATGAAAGTGATCCATTAGGTGGAACGATTTTCCAGAAGTGGAATTGGATTGAGAGAAGTGTATGGAGCGGCACAAATTACGGTAGAAGGTTAGGGTTTGCATCATTGCATGTGATGGGTGACCAAAGATTAGTTAATTAGATAAGCATGGATTATATATTAAATAAGAAAAGATATAATTTTAAGTGCCTGTACTTTTTTTAAATTTTATTATAAATTCTTACATTTTTTTTCGATATTATATGTCCTTATAATTTTTTTAATATTTTAGATCTACCCATGAGTGGTGCTATAAGGACTTAAGATGCAAGTGAAGAAAAGTGTAAGGACTTGAAACATTAAAAAAAAAAGTATAAAGACCTATAGTAAAATTTGAACAAATTGTAAGGACTCGAAGTTATATTTTTTCATTAAATAACAACAACAATAACTCATAAAGAAGTTCTATCAGTTTAATAAAAAATTTTGAGTTTGAACTCTAAAAAAGCAGCAGCATTAGTATAGAGCTTCCACGCAAAAATAATCTTGACTAGCTCAATCTAATTAATTTGGGCCTTATTAAAGTTTTCTCAACTCAACGTGGAGCAAACCCAAGATGCCGGATGTTCAATGCCAATGGCAGAGATAGAGGTGGATCAGGGGAGCTATTACTCTCCCTAATTTTTTAATTTTTTAATAAAATATAGGTGTTATATATATTTAGCCTTATCAAAATATATTTGTATATATTTGATGCTAAACATAAAATCTACTTTCTTTGTAATAAATATAAACTAATATATCTAAAGTTGAAAAAATTAATATATAAAAAATATGTTTTCTTTATACATTAATATGATATAATATGACATAATATAATATATAAAATTATCTTATTTTAGGCAGGTTTCCTCATTTGAGTTGAGGATATGTCATGCATTTGAGATTTTGAGTTGCTACCGCCACCCCATTATCAAATATTCAACTTCAAGCAATACCTTTGTTAATTATGTAATGATCTTCATTCAATTTAGGCTACCCTTCGGTATGTGGGGATATAACCTTGTTTTATAGTTTTTTTAAAGGACTGTCTCATAGTTTGTCAAGGAATTGAAACCTAATTTTCTCCATTATTTTATTGAGGAGAATAGCTTAGGGAATACAACACCTCAGAGATTTGAGAGTGAGAGAAGCCATAGT